CATAAGATCAGTAGAATAAAAGCCAACGACGCCGTTCCGAACGACCGTCCCCGCGCACACCCCACCCCTTCCGCTCCTCTTCCCCACCCCTTCCCCTCCCTACCCCTCCCTTCCCCTCCTCTCCCCTCTCTTCCCCACCCTTCCCCCTCTTCCCCCACCCCTTCCCCACCCCTTCCCCCCTCTTCCCCACCCCTTCCTCTCCCTTCCCCACCCCTTCCCCTCCCTTAACCCCAGGTCAAGCAAGGTCACCCGGAGCTTTAGCGTTTCCCCGACGCGTTGACCCCGACCCTGTGTGCTGTATTTATGCCGCCGAGCCTTTACCTTGGAGAGAGAGAAGGGGGGGTCGGGGGGCGGGGATTAGAGCGAGGGGAGGGAGGGGAAGAGAGGAGGGGGGGATCAGGCTACCGAGAGCTGTCTCTGCTAGAAATTTAACTTCCTCTAAAAATGTTTAAAACGTTGTTCTAGAAGTTGCTCGGGGGTATTTTCCTCGGCTTAAACAAATGAATGGTTTACATAAAAAGAGAGAGAGACAATTGCGCGGAGGGGGAGGGGATGGGATGGGGGGGGGAAGGGGGAGATGGAGAAAGCAGCAACGGGATCGAGAAAGAAGGTAAACGATGGATGGAAGGAAGGAAGAAAAGTAAAGAAGGAATGAATGAAGGAAGAGGAAAAACGGGGAGAAAAGAGAGAGAGAGAGAGAGAGAGAGAGAGAGAGAGAGAGAGAGAGAGAGAGAGAGAGAGAGAGAGGAGAGAGAGAGTGAGAGAGAGAGAGAGAGAGAGAGAGAGAGAGAGAGAGAGAGAGAGAGAAAGAGAGAGAGAGAAAGAGAAAGAGAAAGAGAAAGAGAAAAAGAAAGAGACAGACAGACAGACAGACAGAGACAGAGAGAAAAGAGAACCCCACCCCCCGAAGCGGCCTCCCGAAGCAGCTCGCTCCGAGGGCGCCGAGCTCCTGCAGGAGGCGCTGGAGGAGGACGACCCGCCGCTCCCTTCCCGGCCGGAGGTAACAGCTGGGGGTGAAGCTGGTCCGAAGCCGCCCAGATAACCGGAACTTTCCCCACATTACATTAATACTAAGTTTCCCGCTTGGCTGCCACCTGGCGCACCAAACAAACAAATAAACAAAACAAAAATACAAGAAGTTCCCAATGAGTCTGCGGGCGCGAGGGGAAGCCAGCCCAAGCCAAGTCTAGTCTAGTCAAGTCAATGGAAGTCAAGTCAAGTCAAGTTAAGACAAGGCAAGACAAGTCAAGCCAAAGCACAAGCCAAGCCAAAGCAAGCCAACGCAAGTCAAGTCAAGCAAAGCCAAGCCAAGCCAAAGCAAGTCGTCAAGCCAAGCCAAAGCCAAAGCAAGCAAAGCAAGCCAAAGCAAGTCAAGTCAAGCCAAGCCAAAGCAAGCAAAGCAAGCCAGGCTGCGGCAGGCTGCACACAACGCGGCGGGTCTGGGGAGGGAATGGTCCAAGGGGGAATAGCGAGCGAGGCGGAGTGAGGGGAAGTGAGGGGAAGCGTTTGATGTTGGCTCTTAAGCACACGGCCGGGGGGGGGGGGACGCCGGGCTGACTGGCCAATGCGCTCCCAGGGAGAAGCAACGCGTTCATAACATCCTCACGTGTCGGTGTGTGTGTGTGTCTGTGTGTGTGTGTGTGTGTGTGTGTGTGTGTGTGTGTGTGTGTGTGTGTGTGTGTGTGTGTGTGTGTGTGTGTGTGTGTGTGTGTGTGTGTGTGTGTGTGCGTGTGCGTGTGCGTGTGCGTGTGTGTGTGTGCGTGTGCGTGCGTGTGTGTGTGTGTGTGTGCTGTATTGCCTGATGCTGGACAGACCCACGTACGTCTAGAGGCTCTACGAAATAAATTTTAGATGAAAACTCCAATGGAGTAAGGAACAGGAACACAAAAAAATATCAACAATATAAATATAAACAAACAAAACCACAACAAACCGAAATACGGCCCTAGAAAAAAATAAACAGACACGCCCCCTTCCTCCCTCCCTCCCTCCCTCCCACCCACCCCACATCCAAAACCAAAAAAAAAAGAAAAAAAAAAAGATGAAAAGCATTTTTTTTTAATCCACCGTCTCGGCACTCACCTTCTGCATGGGCGTCCCCCAGAAGTCGTGCAGGAAGAGGTTGGTGATGGGCGTGTGGGGTCGCAGGTCGCGGTTCTCCTTGATGGCGGAGATGTCATCGAAGACGAAGCTGCAGCTGAGGGCGTTCCAGTACACGGCCAGAGCCACCACGAACACCAGGGTCCCGTACACCCAGCCGCACACGCACCCGCCTGCAAAACGAAACGACGCACGATTAATGACTGGCTGGCTGACAGATTGACTGGCTGACTGACTGGCTGACTGACTGATGGCTGACTGATTGATTGAATGACTGACTAACTGGCTGGCTGATTGACTAACTGGCTGACTGATTGACTAGCTGACTAACTGACTGGCTGACTAACTGATTGACTGACTGACTAATTAACTGGCTGCCTGACTGACTGACTCACTGGCTGGCTGACTGACTGACTGACTGACTGCTGACTGACTGACTAATTGACTGGCTGACTGATTGACTGACTAACTGACTGGCTGACTAACTAACTGGCTGACTGACTGCACGGCGTCCAGTGCAAACTGAAACACACGCTCGGCCAAGTACAGACACCGGGGCTGCAATAAAAGATGATGAAGCCTATGAATATTTTGACACGGGTGGGAATAAAAGAGAAAGGGGGGAAGGGGAGAGAAGAGTGCAGGGAGAGAAGAGAGATGGGAGGAGGAAGGAGGGAGAATAAAAAGAAACAGAAGAAGAGGAGAGACAAAGAGACAGACAGACAGACAGACAGAGGAGAGCGAGAGAAAGAGAGACAAAGACAGAAGCAAGTAATAAAAAAATAACCAAACCGAGCACACACACACACACCCAAAAAAACACACCCCCGACCCACCCAAGACCAGCTACAAGGTCCTCTCAAAACCAGACAGGGGACGCGACTGTACCTACCTGTTCCATAGCCTTCGTCCCCAACCATCACACACACACACACTTCATTACTCGTCCCCAGTACCCCACTCCCTCGCCCTGTGACCGCGCCGCTGTGTCTAACTCCTCCCTCCCTCGCTCCGACCGAGCTGCTGTAACGAATCAGCTGGCGTTACGGAAAGGGGAAAAAGGCAAGGAAGAGATAGTATTGCTTCGCTCGTTCCCCACTGTGATGGGCTGCCCTCGCCATGTTGCTTCCTTTTCAATACGTATCTACTGTTGTTTTTGTTTTGTTTTCTTGATTTTATCTTTTTCTTCTTCTTCAAGTCGCCAAAAAACAATCCTTTTTTCACCTTATTTTGTTTTTATCAATGTCTTTTTTTTTCCTTTTTTATTTCTTTCTCGTTTTTTTCTTCTTCTTCTTCCTTCTTTCCACATTTTTTTTATTCATTCATCTCTACCTCTTCCCTTCTTCCTTTTCTTTTACTTTCCTCAACTTCGCTTTCCATCAAAATCCATTTCTTCTCTTCTCTTCCCCTTTCTCTCCTCCCGTCCAGTCACTCCCCTTAGCTTCATCTTCCCTCTCCTCCCTTTCTCATCCCGCGCCCTTCCCTCTCTTCCCTATCCCTCCTCTCTACCCTAACTCCCCTCCCCTTCCCTTCTCCTCCTGCCTCCTTCTCTACCCGTCCCTCCGCTCTCATCCCTCCCCTCCCCTCCCCTACCATCCCTCCTTTCATCTCTTCCCTCTCCTCCCTCTCATCTCTTCCATCTCTTCCCTCCTCTCCTCTTCTCTCCCCTCCTCTCGTAACCCTTTCCCCTCCCCTCCCACCCCTCTCCACCCTCCCTTCCCTCCCCTTCCTTCCCTTCCTCCTCCTCCCTCCCTCCCTACCCTTACCCTCTCCTCCTCCTCCTCCTCCTCCCTTCCTTACCCTCTCCTCCTCTCCTCCTCCCTTTCCCCCTCTTCCCCCCCAGCCACCACCCCCCCACCCCCCCTTCTCCGCAGCCGGGTGTCCCAGCCGTCGAGCGCCCGCGGCTTCATTAGCAACGTTCGGGCGCGGGCGTGTCGGGAGTCAATATCAGCGCCAGATACCCTCGCCATAAAGGTTCATTATTGCGCCCTTGCCCAATATCGCGCCCGGAGTTTACGGCGGATTATGTATCAAAGACGGAACCTCCTCCCCCCCCCCCCCCCCCCCCCCCACCCCCGCCCGCCCGCCCGCCCAGCCCGCGCTGACCAGTTCGGACGGGGGGACGGGGGGAGGAGCGAGGGAGGGAGTGAGTGAGAGGGAGAGAGAGAGAGGGAGGGAGTGGAAGGGAGGAGGAGAGAGAGAGCGAGGGAGGAAGGGAGGGAGGAGAGAGAGAGAGGAGGGAGAGGGAGGAGAGAGAGGAGGGAGCGAGGAGAAGAGAGAGAGAAGGAGGAGGAAGGAGGGAGGAGGAGAGAGAGGAGAGGGAGGGTGAGAGAGAGAGAGGGAGGTGAGAGGGAGGAGAGAGAGAGAGGAGGGAGGAAGGGAGAGGAGAGCGAGAGGAGAAAGGAGGAGAAAGGAGGGAGAGGAAGGAAGGAAGGGGAGATGGCGGGGAGGGAAACGTAGGAAAGGGTAATGGAAATATGAGAGAATGGAACGGGCAGGAAGAAGAAGGGAAGGGGAAAAGGGAGAATGGGAAAGGAGGGAGGGGGGAGGGGAGGGGGAGGGGGCGAACATGGCTTGAAGGTGGAGGAAAGACGAGAAGGAAAAGAAGGAGAAGGAGGAAGAGGAGCAGGACAAGGAGGGAAGAAAGCGAGGAAAGGAAGAAGGAAGAAGGAGAGGAGGAGGAGGAGGAGAGGGAGCTAGATAGACAGATAGATAGATTGAGGGAAACTACAGATAAAGCGAAAAAAAAGAATGAAAAACATTAAAATATTCCCTCTCCTTCCCTCCCTGCTCCCCTCACCCCTTTCCCTCTCTCCCTACCTCCTCCCTGCTACTTTCCCTCCCCTTCCCCTCCCGCCCCGCCCCCTTTTCCCTCCTAACCCTCCCACCCTCCTTCCCTCCCTCGCCTCCCCTCCCCGCCCGCCCCCTTTCCCTCCTACCCTCCCTCTCTTCTGGCCCCGCCCCCCTTTTCCCTCCTACCCTCCCTCCTTCCCGCTCCGCCCCTTTTCCTCCTACTCTCCTTCCCTCTCCTCCCCTCCTACCTCCTTCCCTCCCCTCCCGCCCCTTTCCCTCCTACCCTCCCTCCCCGCCCCCTTTTCCCTCCTATCCTCCCCCTCCCTCCCTCCCTACCTCCTTCCTCCAATCCCCAGGCGACTAGGAGAGGATCGAGAACGGGAGGGGCGCCCTGTGTCATAATTCAGACGGCGCCCCGGGGGACTTCCTCAGCGCCGGTGGTTTTCCCCAGGTAGGCGAATAGGGGGGGGGGGCACTCGGCAGATACTTTCCAGGGGGGAGGTATACCTGGGGGAGGTCTACCCTTGGGAAGTCTACCTTGGGGAGAGTTCTACCGGAGGGAGTCTACCCTGGGGGTGGGAAGGAGGAGGAAAGGAAGAGGGTGTTAAGGGGGAGTGCCAAGATGGGAAGGGGTGGGGAGAGGTGGTAGTAGAAGGGTGAAGAGGAGTGGCAAGGATTGCAGATTGAACAGGGGGATGGCAACAGTGTAAAAAGGTGGGGAGAGGGTGGCAGTGAGGGGAAAGGGTGATAGGGTTGGGAAAGAGTGGCAGGGTAGG